TCAGCTCCATCACACACGGGGCAGCTGCTGTAGCAGGGGGTGGGGTGGGGGGCCTGGGGGTCACTTTGACTTCATACACCTATAGACACATATACATACAGATATATTTATATAAGTACACACAGAGCTCCCTCCGGGCATCCCGGTGGCGTTTCCCTGGGTCAGGATTTGTCCTCAGTTTCCCAGCCCGAACGAGGGGCTGGAGCAGCTGCGTTTTTGGGAGGGGAGAAGCTGGATCAGCCCCCAGATCCCAGCTGGATCAGCTGCCAGAACGGGATGCTCAAGATCCACATGTCCCCCCATGTGCTCCAGTGCTGTGCTCTCCGTCCACGTCCCCTTTTTCCCGGGAATATTCTGTTTTTCTTTCAGTCAGCAAACCCGGAGCTCAGGAAAGCCACGTTCCTCGCTGTGTCCTGGGCTCAGAGCTCTGCCCAAGCACGGTGGCATTTTAAAAAATAATGACTTGGAGCCTCTTAACCCGCTTTAAGGCCACGGCAGGCACGTTTCCCAGCAGGCTGGGAATTCGGCAGATGGAAAAAAGGCCCCGTGGGGATAGGAAATGGGGGGCTGAGCTGCCTTTGGAGCCTCAGGGCAGCCCACGGGCCCCAGCACTCGTGGGGGGCTCAGTCATCCCCCCAACACGATGAAATGTCCTCAGAGGGGCTGCACTAGGACAGAGGTGCCTCATCCCTGATGGCAGGATTCACCTTCCCTGTGTCCCTGTTCCTTCCCTGTGGTGGGAAAAGCTGCTCTCCATTGTGCCATTCCCAGCCTTGATCATGGGGTTGGATTTTAGGGAACACTGAGGCATTGGCGGGTTGAAGAGATCACTGATTTGGGGTCACCACGTTTTTTAGGGGTGCCCCCCCAAATTGAGATATCAAGCTGGAATTCAGCTTCATGCTCAAGCCAGGAGAGAACCCTGAGATGTCTCACTCCACAGCGTGGGGTGTCCAGCCCGGTGGGACATCCTGAAATCCCACCATGGTCAAGTCCTCGCCATCAACCAGCTCCAAACCTTTCCCACCACAGGCTGCTGAGGGTTCTGCCCTGGGGGTGGGTGGGGATGGACAGCTAAAGGATGGTCTCCAATCCTCTGGACACTTCGGTCTCTCTTCTCAAGGAGCTGAAGCTCAGCTGTGTGGGACCCCGGGGGTTTCCCCAAGTTCCTGCCCTGGAGCTGACCCTGCTTTCCCTCACTCGATGCTCCACGAGTTGTGGCAGCAGAGGATGAGGAACCCAACCCAGTGATCCAAGGCTCCATCTGAGCCTGCAGAGGGATCCTGAGGAGCCCTGGGCATGAGCTGGAGATGTCCAGGTGGATGTAACACTGAGCAAGAGGCTTTTGCCTGCGGCGGGTTGACACGGTGCAGGCAGAGGAGGAGGATCCTCCGGCACAGTCAATTTGAGACCCAAATGGGCAATTTCACCCTATTTGATTCCTTTGAAAAAGAAATTGGTTTTGGCCGCCTCGTGTCTTCCTAACAGGGAAGGCTGCAATTTCCACGGGCTCTGGAGAAAGGTGGGGCTGCTGAGGAGAGGTAATGGCTGTTATTAGCCTAAATTGATGCAACTGGAGAAACCAGACACAACGCAGGCTCTGCCTCCAGCCCACGAGCCCCAGGTGCCCCCAGCGCTCGCCTGCTTCCTCCAGCTGCACCAATTTGTCCAGTCACTGCCATTCCTGCTTCCTCCAAGCATCCCCCTCCTCCTCCCCGGGCTGTCTGACCGCCTGGCAATGACGGTGGGAAGGGGACAGCAAGGAAAAGTGGTGGCTCAGGGATGTGGGGTGGGGCTGACGGGGGGGTTTCAGGGAGCGGGAGGACCCATCAGTCATCGTTCAGCTGCAGGTGATGTGGTCCAGAGGTTCCTGGATGGTGATTCCTGCAGGATGTGATGGGAGCTGGAGCTTGGTCATGCCTTTGGGGGGATGCTGCTCCATCCAGATGAGAGCTGAAACCCCCAAATCTCTGCCTCTTGCAGGCTGTGGGTCCTTTCTCGGTGCCTGCACAGCCTCTGTCCCTGCTTGGGGAATTGTGAAAGAAAGGGGATAGTTTTTTCATCTTCTCCTAAAAAAAAAGTAACACAACCCCATCCTATCCTTTTTGGCTCTGCTATGGAAATCTGGGCAGTGCTGTTGCTCATCCTTCTCCTGATGGGCAGGGAAGGGAGAGCCCTTGGCACTGCCCGTTGTTCCATCCTAATTGCTTTAGCACTGCTAGAAACAACTCAAGTCCCCTCAAATTACTCCCTTAATGAGGTTCTTCTCAGGCTTAATGTCTTCATCAGTTCCCTGTCACCCTGATGGACGGTGGGCATGGGGAATTTGGCATTGGCACATGGGTACAGGGTGAGCTTCAGGTGTGCCCTGGCTGTATCTGTGTTCCCAGCATCACACCCATGCCCAGGGCTGCCCTGGCTGCAGTCAGAGGTCTCTAAATAACAGAGTAATGACATTAATGATAGAAAGTTCTTCTCTGGGAGCAGTGCCAGATTGAAGGACTCCAGGTGTGGAGCTGGAGCTCTTTGATTACAGTCTCTGAAGCGGCATCATTTTCTCTTCCCAGCTCTGGTTGTTTTTTTGGACACAGCTCAGAGAGGGATGGATTGAGGTCCCATGATCTGGCAGAGGAAACAGCCTCAAGTCATGCCAGGAGAGGTTTAGATTGGATATTAGGAAACATTTCTTCACTGAAAAGGTTGTCCAGCCCTGGCACAGCTGCCCAGGGCAGTGGTAGAGTCCCATCCCTGCAGGGATTTAAAGCCGTGTGGATGTGGCACTCAGGGACGTGGGTCAGTGGTGGCCTTGGCAGCACTGGGGGAATGGTTGGACTCAACAATCTCAGAGGGCTTTTCCAACCTGAATGATTCCATGGTCCTACAATCACCCCCTGGCACAATCCCCTTATGCCACGGGAGCGTTTCCCCTCTTGCCATGGGTTATGGTGCCACCTCGACCCAGGAGGTGAAGCACATGGACATTGCAGTCCTGGTGTCCTGGGCTCTGCAGAGAGCCACGTTTGGGAGGGTGACAGCCCTTGTTGGGTGGCCTTGGTCGGGGTGGGAGCAGCAGCAGAGCAGCTCTGCCCAGGTTGCCTCTTGTCCCAATCCTCACCCTACGCCACTTGGCGAGTCCCAGTTCCCCCATCCCGCTTCTCCGGGGTGACCAAAGTCTTTGCAGTCATTGTGGGCACAACCCCCGGGGCGTCACCCAAGCGGTGCCACCGCTCTGCTCAGAACTCCGTGGTGGTGACCTGGGTGACCTCCGAGCGCAGGTCGTCCCCTCCGCGCCCCCGGCAGCCCCGCTGGGGGCTGCCCACGCCTAGTCATGCCGGCTTGTTGGGGGCTTCCGAGGGCGTGCAGGTGGACACCTGCTCCCTCGTGGTGTTCCGGGCGCGGGAGAAGCTGTTCTGGTCCACGCGGGCTCGGAAGGGCAGGCAGAACTCCCGGAAGCACCGCTTGAAGTTCTCATCCAGGAAGGCGTAGAGGACGGGGTTGAGGCTGCTGTTGGTGTAGCCCAGGGCGATGCAGAAGTGCAGGCTGGCCACCACATAGGGGTTCTTCTTGTCGATGTCCACCAGCGTCCAGACGATGACGAAGATGTGGATGGGGGTCCAGCAGATGATGAAGGCGGCCACCACCACCAGCACCATGCGTGTGATGCGCCGCAGGTTCCGGTCCTTCTCCTTGGAGCCCGAGAGGAGGCGGACGCTCTTCAGGCGCAGGATCATCAGCCCGTAGCAGATGGTGATGACCAGGATGGGCACCAGGAAGGCGAAGATGAAGACGCAGATCTTGGTGACGGTGTCCCAGTAGATGGGAGGGTCGGGGAACTGCAGGGTGCACAGCACCATCCCGTCTGCAGGGGAGAGGAGGGTCAGGGAGGGAGCTGGGGGAGGCTCTGCTGTGGGTACTCGGCCTTCTGGTCATGGCTGGGCATGTCCATGCACTCAAGGAGGTGCATTCCCACCTGCCAGCTCTTGGCAGAGGCTCCCCAGAGCCACCAGCCCACAGGGTGCTGAGGTGGTACAGGGGGTGCAGTGACCTGTTCCCTGCAGAGCCTCCTGGGCCATCCCCACGCTGCCTCCTCCCAACCCCTGTGGTGGACACATCCCCATGTCACCTTCCACTGAGACCTGTCCCCTTCCTCGGGATGCCCAGAACTGCAGATCTCAGTGTGGGCCAGCTGGGGACTTCACAGCACCACCGAGGGTGTTTTTAGGAACCTGATTTCAGATATTCATAGAATATTCTGAGTTGGAAGGGATCCACGAAGACCATCAAGTCCGACTCCTAAGGGAATGGCCAGCATGGGGGTTGAACCCTTGGTTCAGTGGTTGGCATTATTAGCACCATGCTCTAACCAGTTTGCACCCCAGGAACGGGGCACTGGTTGGACTGGAGATGGGGAAGGGTGTGGTGTCCCAGCCTTAAGGGGAAGAGAGGGCAATTTCTGGGACGGTTTCCAAACACCATGATGCCTTTTCCACAACATGGCACATTTATGGTCCCACGGAGAGGTGCCCACACTGACCCCAAACCTGCTATGGGGCCGGGCATCAAGTTCCCCAAATCACCCCTGGGATGCACAGATGGGACAGGAGGGGGGGGACATGTCCCCAAAAAGCCACTTGCCTTTCGTCTTGGTGACCGCCATGACCATGATGGGCACCCCGATGAGGGAGGAGAGCACCCAGATGCAGACGTTGATGATCTTGGCCTTGGCCGGCGTCCGGAAGTCCAGGGCCTTGACCGGGTGGCACACGGCGACGTAGCGGTCCACGCTCATCATGGTGAGGGTGAAGATGCTGGTGAACATGTTGTAGTAGTCGATGGAGAGCACGACCTTGCAGAGCAGCTCCCCGAAGGGCCAGGTCTCCATGAGGTACTTGGCGCTCTGGAAGGGCAGCGTGCTGGTGGCCAGCGCGTCGGCCAGCGCCAGGTTGAAGATGTAGATGTTGGTGGCTGTCTTCATCTTGGTGTACCTGGGGAAGGGAGAGGGGACAGGGCGTCAGGGCGCTCGACACGATGAGGAGGGGGCACGGGGATGTGTTGTGATGGGACCTTTCTGCAGCATCAGGGTGCTCAGAGCCCTTCCAGGTGCCCCAGGGAGCACGCTGAGGAAGGACATTGAGCTGTTGGAGTGAGTCCAGAGGAGACCACCGAGCTGATCAGAGGGATGGAGCAGCTCTGCTGTGAGGAAACACTGAGAGAATTGGGATTTTTCAGCCTGGAGAAGAGAAGGCTCCGGGGTGACCTAATTGTGGCCTTTCAGTGCCTGAATGAGCTGACAGGAAAGATGGAGAGGGACATTTACAAGGACCTGGAGTGACAGGACAAGGGGGAATGGCTTCCCACTGCCAGAGGACAGGGTTAAATGGGATATTAGGGACAAATTCTTCCCTCTGAGGATGGGGAGACCCTGGCACAGGTTGCCCAGAGAAGCTGTGGTTGCCCCATCCCTGGAAGTGTCCAAGGCCAGGTAGGACAGGACTTGGAGCAACCTGGGCTAGTGGAGGGGGTCCCTGCCCATGGCAGGGGGTGGAATGAGATGAACTTTAAGGTCCCCTCCAATCCAAACCATTCCACGATTCTATGATTCTACACTTGTGTTCTTGCAGGGATTTAGTGCGTGTTAAAGTCATAAAATCACAGAATCCCAGAATGGTTTGGGCTGGAAGGGAACTTAAAGCTTATGCAGTTCCACCTCCTGTCACGGGCAGGGATGGCACCCACTAAATCCTGGTGCCTGAGCAGGGGGTGACACTCCCACATGCTGAGCTGGGACCTGCAGAACATGGGGCTGGGACCCTGCAGAACATGGGGCTGGGACCCTGCCACAGTGGTCATCCCATGTCCAGGGAGGTGGCACTCAATCCATGCCTGCCTTTATTCAAAGGAATAAAGAACTTTCCAGAGAAGTCAATTCTCCGAAGAGATCAATTTACTCCATTTCCCTGACTCGGTTGCATCCACATCCTTTATCCCCCCCAACCTTCCTCCACCTGATTTTCCACCCAGTAACCCGTGATTATCCAGCCTGCTTCCCTGTCGAGTTTACTTGCAGAAATCGGATCGATTACCCCCGGAAACAGGCCATCTGGAAGCAGCCCAATTAGCCAGCCTGGAGCTCCAGAGCCTTTGGGGAAGCCTGGCTGA